ATGCTATTAAGAATTTAAGATTCACCTGATTCTATAGCTTCAATTACGTAGTCAATTGCATTATCTGCTTCTAGGACCATGTGTGTCTTTCTACAGATTTCCTCTAGCTCTGATCTCTTCTTAAGAACAAGCTCCTTCATTTTACTTGATTTCAACTCTTCCAACCGAGACACTTCTGCCTCAACCTGCACAATAGATTTCCAAATGAATACTTGACAACTATACTGATCCAATAGTATGAAATAATACAGAGTTACAACATAAAAAAACTCACATAATTGATAAAGTCCACAGATAGTGTATTTGGTTCAGTTATCTCATGTTCTGATGCAGCTATATTGCAGGTTATATTCTGAAACATCTGTTGTTCCTCAATTGGCGTATCCATCAAGTTCCACAGCTCTAACATGGTAGTTGCAAGATCTTGAAGCTGTCAGAGATTAGGAGGTTAATATCATTCAATTAAATGCACATAACTTCGACTAAAAACTAAAAAACGACAAAGAACATTCTTTACCCTCTGCATTCTCTGTAATTTAACCTCCCGCAATTTTTGTATTGCAGCAGCCAATCGCTGAATTGTATCATTACTTATATTCTTGCTTCCTGCGGAATCAACTAAACTGGGATGTACCTCACTAATTGTCTGTTTGTAGTCCATACCAAGAACTGAGCAAAATGAGTTCAATGTACACAGGTGGTCCTGTATCTGCTTAAGCCGATCACTCTGCACAGCAAGAAAGAGCAGATACATGAGGAATTGAAGAGCATAAAAGAATACAAAATCAGATTAAGATGATATGCAGATGGAAAGGAAATTGAAAAAATAACTCCCAACCTTCTCAGTTTGGAGTGCATGTAGCTGTCTGTGCAATTCTTCAAGCCTTCTCAATGACAAATCAGTTTCATCCACACCCGGTTTAGAACTGTAATCTATGCTTCCATTAATCTCACTTGAAATTTTCCGTATCTCCTCTAGAACTTCCAGAAAGTTATTTTTTCTGTCACATTTTCTTTTCTTCATCTCCTCCAGCTGTGGGATTATTTTGCTGAGCTCTTCCTTCAAACTTCCGGCATTTTGATCAGACTGAAATGATAAAGCAATTTGTAAATAATTCTGATTTTAAGCAATAGTCTTCTTAACTTCGATGGGAACGGGACATTTAAACTATTTATCTATAAAAACAATAACAGTTATCCACCAAACAGTCCATCCTGACCTGTCTAATATGTACCGGTCGCTCCCCCATTGCAGAACATATTGCCGCAAGTTCTGCTTCCGAATCAGCAATTGCCTGCCGTAGCTGTGCCCTACACCGATTTGCCTGATCTACCTTTCTTCTGTATACTTCTAGACATTCCTGCTCAAGCTCAAGCAACATCTTATCCCTATCTTTGTCAGTCTCTCCGACTTCATTCCAAATTATCTACAATTTTCGTATTAGACAAGAAACAAATTGAGATTAGTACTTTCGAGTACTCCAATTTCCATAAAAAATAAAATAAAATAAAAACAGAAAAAACTAGACAAATTTTCTTTCGATATTTAGAGATTCATGTGATACCTGAAGCTCATATAGAAGTGATCCACATGTTGTTTCCATTTGCAGAAGCTGCTCACTTTGGAGATTAGACATATTGAAGCAGTGCTACCTGCCATAAACAATTTTCACCATCAAACCCTAACTATATGCATTGCATAAATTGACCATAAAATTCTTAAAAATCTCTAAATAGCAACAAAATATATGGAAAAAGCTAAAAAGCAACAGAACCCTAGATTCCTCGAAACCCAGACAAAAATATCTCGAACTGCAGGTTTCTCCCAAAATTTTGGAGAAAAAGAAAATTAGATCACCAATTCTAGTCCATATTAGGTCAGATTTCTGTGTAAACACCAAATTCTAAAATTGAATGGAAAATTCTCTATTCTACAAATAATTCCCAAGCAATTTAGCTCAAAGAAATTAAAATCAAAAGAACCAACCAGACCACAGGCGACAAAATCAACTAGAAGAAGCTGAGGAATTTTTTTTTCAACAATTCAAAAAATTGTTATCAAAATTCAAAATTTCAAATTTCAAATTCTTTCTCGAGAACCAAACGGGGAACTGGGGAAAATTGAAGAAAAATAACGAAGACGGGAAGAGGAAAACCCGGAAACAAACCTGAGAGAGCAAGTCAACGAGCATCAATTTTCTATCTGCTGTATGGATTTTCTTGCCACAGCAGAGGCCGGCGATTGGAGGATTTTCCCGAGAAAATGTGGGTTTCGTTTCGTTTTTCTTCTCTTGGAAACTTTGGGGGAAAAAGGTAGGATTTGGGGTTTGAATTTTAATGGAGATGTGAGATGTTTAGAGAGAGAGAGAGAGAGAGAGAGAGAGAGAGAGAGAGAGAAGCCGTTTGAATGTGGAGAAAAGAGGACCGTTGAAGAACGCAGGGGGGGCTTGTTAAAGATTTGTTTTTTAATGATTCTCCGGGACGAAGCAGGTCACGCACCAACGGCATTTGAATTTCAAATTTTCAGGAGATGACTCGGATTGCTGTAGTCGATTTATCGCTGCTGTGAGACCATCAGATGTGAAATTTTTAACATAAAATTTAAATTTTGACAGTTTTAAAATTTTATTCTTCAATCAATTTGTCAAATTAAATTATTATTTTATAAAATAAATTATTAAACTAATTAAAATTTAATAAATAACATTTAAAGTTTAATTAATAATCTGTTCACCTTCCTTGATTGACAAGAAAAAAAAAGTATGATAATTACATTGGTCAACTCAACATTAATTATAATAAATGATTAAACTAATTAAAAATCAATAAAATACATTTGATAATTAATAATAATAAAAATTTTGAAACTGCTGTCAAATTTGACAGCAACTTCTTTTGCTGTCAATCCATGTCATCGCTACATAGAATTTGGCATCTCGGTTGGAGAATATTAGTGTGATATTTTTTTACTGTTATAGCTAATGTGTACATTTTAACATCTCCTTTAAAGATGCTCTAATATGTATTTGTCCAATGGAGTTTTGTCATTTGTGTTTAATTTTAAATAAAAAATTTAAAATAATTTATGACTGCACGATATACGATAAACGGTTAGTATGTGAGGATTCTTAAAATTCTACAATTTGGATATGGATGGGATCCAAATTAGAAAAATTGGATATAAGATTGTGAAAGGAAATTAATATTTTTCAAAAACATAATCTAAGGTATACCAAATTTGAAAATGATACTGGATCAATGCAACAATAAATATGAAAATAAATACTTAAATAAGATTTATCTATCTCATTTCCTTTTTTTTTTTTTTTGGTAAAAAAAATGGTAGTAGTGGGTTACCACTTCGAGCCGGATCGCTGTTTTTACGAAAAGCTCTCCCCAAGAGGTTTTTTTACAAGCGGATGATCGAACCTCTGACCTCCCTCAGACCATATCCAATGATGGGCTAAATGCTAAATTTTCCCTCAAATTCACCCCCCCCCAAACACTCTCCAACCCATGCTAAAACTTTGGGCTAAATGCCAAATGCCAAAGGTGGGCCAAATACCCCCCCAAGTGAGTGGACTCGCCGGTTGTTGGGCCAGTCTCGGCCCACCCACCCTCTAACGCGCACCACATGGTGCGCTTGCAAAGGTTTCCCGACAGGGGTGGGCCCTGCCGTCAGGTGTGTGTCGGCCACCCACAAAAACCCAACGGCCATAATTTTGATCCTATGGCTGGGCTTTAAGGACCGTTGGTTGATCCAATGGTCTAGATTCAAATTTAATTTTTTTAGAATATGTTATTTTAAAATACGTTGAATCCAACAACTGAGATCGAATATAATCAAATATAACGGTAAAAAAAAAAAAGATCTAGCAGCCCAAATTTAAATCCAACGACTAAAATAATTTAAAAAAATTATTTAACTCAAAATTCACCCAAAAACTCTATAAATACCTATGTATTTGTTCAAACATCTATACAAAACTCAATTTTCTCTTACAATTCTTCCAATTTATGTTTCTATCATTTCTTTCCATTTCCAAATTGTTAAACAGTTGGTGAATTGTAAGTTAGCCCAGGGTTGAAAGATTGGTAAAAGTTGAAGGCTTGCTTTGTGGAAAATTTAGTGATTTTTCAATATTTATCGAAATTTAAATTTTTTAGATTAAAATGTTCATAAAATTAATTTACGATAGTCTACATATTTTTTTTAAATTTAATTTAAGAAAAAAAAAAAAAAACCTAAGTTCATTCTTTAATAATCCCGAGCTAAAATTTTTGGCCATAACAATTGGAGTAGAAAATCTGTTTCTGAGCTCAAAGCTAAATTTTTCAGACTAAAATATTTGGCTTTTAACCCAACCATTAGAGATGATCTAAAGATGGTACTCAGAAGAACTGCCCAACTTATGGCCTAGCCAGCTTTTATCCACTAGACCAAACCCAAATTTAAACATATTTAAGTTGACTAGAATAGTCCGCCTCTCCTCTTCACCTATGTAGTTTAAGGTTAGACTAATCAAAGAATTTTTAGAAAAAAATTTCTAAATTGGAATGAAAATTTAAAAAGAAAGTTTCTTATTGATCAAAAGTGAAATGTATGACAGGAGTACACAACTAACAGCTTATTTAGAAAGTAGTTTCTTTTTTTTTCCTTTTTTTTTTTTTAGTACACTGATATTTTTTATACTAAAGGAAAGAAAAGTTTGGCAAAACCACACAATAGGCAATTTAATTTGGTATTGAATTCGTCATCCACGAGTTTCCAACCTAAAATTTTAAGTGAAAAGAAATATCACCTGACTATGATACTAAATGACCTATTTGGAAAGTAGTTTTAAGTGACTTCATATGCTTCTTGCAAAAACACTAGTTATGTGCTTAGCAAGCGGTTCAAAGTGCTTATTTAGGATTAACCTGCATCTTTACTAAAAATTGGTTTCAAAACTATTTTCCCCAAAAGCGCTTTTAGTCATTTGAAAACGTTTCCAAACGAGTTCTAAACAAGCCAGCACTTAATTTATTCAAAAACACATAATGGTAACTAAACTAAAATTGCTCGCAAAATACAAATTTAGCCGCTAATCCTCCTACCTATTGCAACAAATAATTACTCTACAATCATTTTCTTATATTTATAAAGACTTTAAACAAAAAAATTTACCATGCAAGCTTTGCCCCAACTCATGAAGAAGAGTTGTCGCTGCCCTCATATTCTCTCCTTATAATTTCAAGCACAAATTCGTTCCATGTATCGACCGGACCCGGCATGCACCAGTGCAAGCAATCCTGTGGCGGAGGCCTTCCGTCAGGGCCCCGCTGTGTTTTCTTATTAGGGTCGGGGCTTCTGTACGGGCCTGGATGCCCATCGTGGCGGTACTCAAAAGGTTTCGTGATGTCCATCAATTTCAACTTCGACTTGTTTGTCACACCTTTCTGAATCGCCCGGTTGAAACCCATAACTTGTTTTTCATGCATTATGTTCGTAAAGCCATTTTCCACTACTTCGCCCAGTGCAAGAGGTTTTACCTTCCCGGTGCATGATCCTCCTGTGTTCCAAGCTCCACCCTCGTAATGGTCAGGTGAATAAGAACGCACGATGGCGATCCCTGTATAATTTGGATGTCTAGCAACAGCAGTGAGAATTGTCTCGACAGATATTCCAAATGCTTCAATGTTGTTAACCTTCATAGGCCTTGATTTGTCCGGCCACCACAACTGCCCTCCCACAATCTCGTTGTCTAAGATATATACTGACTGCTTGGCGAACCAATGGCCGGAAGAGAAAATAATCACATCAAACTGTGGGATGAGATCCATGAATTTGTCATCAGGGGCATCAAGGTGGAGCTTGGCCACGCCCTCTGAAGCAAAATCAAATGCCTCGGATGTCTGCTTCACAAGCCAAGAGGACCAAATCCGGACAACAAACATAGATGTCGACTTGAAATAATAACGTTGCATTCTCTTGTTCCCCCGATTTTTTGGAACTTCTACCTGCATACACCACACAAAGATGTAAGCACCACTAGAGTTACTTAAAACAGCATTATCCGCGAAAAGGGATGGAGATGAAATTTCATAAAGCTGCTTTGCGTTTAATTCCACATGAATTTAGAGATATATAATACTAGCAGGGTTGATGAATCCAGAGTTGCAAAAATTCCATCTACCATAAGAAAAAAGCATTTAATTTGAGGTAACTAAATCATAAAAAAATTTAGACAATTACCTGCCAGAGCATGCACAACAATGACTCCATATGGTTTCGAGCAACCGAATCACCAATGAAAGCTATTGTTTTCCCCCTCATCAACTCTAGAAATTTCCTGGCATCAAAACGTGGCAGGTCACACTGAGAGGGCTTCCATCGCCAATTCTCATACTGCTTGTCAGGCCTCCCATTTCCCTGGCAATTTTGCATCTGTGTCAGGACAGGGCACGTATTGTTTGTATATACCGGTCCTGCTGAATCATAAATCCAACTTCCACTGTACAGATCACAGCCTGCATAATATGAACAGAAGTAAGTCAAATTCAAAGAAACAAGTACTTGAAAATATTATAGCAAGTAGTCAAATTTCAGCAGTACAGAAGGCTAAATTAGACATAAGTTCAATCAGAGTACAAAAGACTAAGATTATAGCAAAATGTCAAATTTGAGCATACATGAAAACATAACAAAACAACACGAAAGCTACCTGAATCAACGGAAACACCACTGGTTGCATTGTTGGGCAAATGGGAAGAAGCTGATGTAGTATCATTTGGCTTGAGTGCAGGTGCTGATATATCCTTCATCTCCTTTGTTTGCGAAACTATTGATGGATCACTTGAACTCGAGGACAGTTGTGGATTGGACTCGTCTAACAAATTCTTATCAGTTTTAATCATACTGTCATCAATTGATGAAGCGGTTGAAACTGCAGGCTCTGATGTACCAGTTGAGTTTACTGATCCAACATTTTCATTATCTGATAAACCGGATGAATTCTTTGCCACATCCGGCAGATCTTTGATCTCTCTAGTTTCTGAAACAACCAGTGAACCATCTGACCTCGAGGGTACTTGTGAATTCGACTCGGTAAGAATATTCTGATTAACAACTTTTGTTTGTGGATCAACTGAACTTTTCGGAACTTCTGAATTAGACTCCGATACCATATTCTTATCGACACTATCTACATTATTAGGAAGGGGAGCATCGTGGTTAGTGGGATTCCCTATAGAGGTAGAATAATCCAACTTCTGCATACTATCAACACCATAGAAATACCAGCTAACCGTGGAACCAATCGGGTAAGTTACTAAAACCCAAGAAGCAAAAAGTAAGAAAAAAGCCAATGCCACCCCGGAAACTACCATCCACGAAAGGGCTTTCGGGTAGGAAGTCATCGAAATCGAACCTTTGGACGAAGCCCAAGTCAATGAAGTCATCGCTTTCCAAATCAAGCAATTCGTGTGAAATAAACTATCTAGCCTAAATTAAACTACCAATGGAAAACCCCAAAAGCATGGATACAAATGGCTAAAGAAAAATCCCAACTCATCGTTTTTTTTCCAAATTAGGAAAACCCCAACTTTGAGCTCAACCTCCTCCAGCAAACCCTGAAAACATACAAAACAACTCCAGAAATTACATGTAATTCAAGCAACACAATGCTAAAAATGGAAACTTTATAATCATGCTTAATGATAATTACGTTTATAAGTAAATTTAATTACTAAAAATAGACAAACAACAATTGCTTCCAAAAGGGTATGAAGATCTAAAGAAAATATACCTTGATCAACGCTAGACGCAATAGAAGATCTTGAAGCACTTAAAAGGAAACAATAAATGGATGCATGAAGATTTGTTTACAGGGGAATTGGATTCCTGGGTAAGTGGAAACAATGGGAAACTTGGATTCCCGACCTGGAAGGTTGAATGCTTTATGTACGGAACATGGAATCAGATCAACGGCGGAGAGCTGGTGGAAATGGAAGTGGTGGATGAAGATCCGGAGAGGGGGCTTGGATTTAAAGAATGAAGATGAAAGAGAAAGATTTAGATGGGAAAAATATAATCTTGTTTATTTGAGTGATGTGCGGCAGATTGAATTAGACGAATCGTCTTCTTGGGATTTGTTTATAGTTTGAACAGGAGAGATATGTGAATATTGAAATTACTACAATGCCCTTTGGTCCGCCATGATGGTTTGTGCTGTTGATGGAAATTTAATTTTGCAAATTTCCAATTAATTATATTATTATAATTGTGTATTAGAACGTGTTTTCTGTACATTAAAAAAATCTTTCTGTATCGACTTACAATTTAATTATGGGCTATGCTTGATATTTTGCGACGGCCAATTTGTTGAAAGCTGCAAATTTAGATACACTACTTTCTTGGGGAAAAAATAAACATTACTAAATATGGACTTGTTTCGAAAGAAGTCAATCAAATTCAACAATTAATTAAGAAATTTAATGTCGACTCGTTTTCGCATTACATTTTGATGGAAGGTCACATTGAAGGAGTTAATTATATTATATTGAAAGCTAATTTATTGAAAATTCATGTTTGGTGTCGTTTAGGTTCCACTTAGATTAAGCGGTTGGCCACCGTTTTAATTAATTCTTAGACGTTTGAAAATTAAGAAATGACGACTAAACCTACTTTGGCATCCGCCCACACCTACTTGTCCTAGGTTGAGACTCACTTAGACAGAAAATAAATAAGTTTTCATGTTACATTTTTTAATAACTTGTAAGAGACTTGTTGAATAATTAGATGAATGCAAATTATATGTTTGTTTCTTATGTTTTTATTATTTTCTAATACTTTATGATCTATATATATCATTCTATTTTGCAATTAATGTATTCCAATGCAATTAAGCATTTTTTTTAAGTATAATCAACACTTATTTATACAATATATGATAATTTACTTCAATCCATCTTATACCCCTAATTCTCCAGTTAAACTCCGCCTAGCTGCCTAAGCATTAGGCTTTAGCTTGCCAGTCAACTAATGCCTAGCGTCTTTTAGAATTTTGGTAACAAGATGACTTAAAAAAAAAAAAACCTTTTTATTTAAGAAAAACTAATGAAAAGTAAAAAAAAAAACTTTAGTTTTAATGAAAAATGACAAATAAATGTGTAGTAAATAGTATCAGGAAAATGTAAAAATGTGATTTTTAATTAAAAATGAACGGTACCAAAAGTGTTTCGTTAAAACTTATTTTTATTTATTAGTTTTGAAGGAATTAATACATAATTGGAGAGGGGAGGACCAAAAAAAAAAAAAAGAAAAACCCATAATTGGGCCTTCGTTGGGCTGCCGAATACAGCAAAACGACAACAAAATAACAACACTTGACAGCCTTGAGCTCTGCCGTTACAAATATGTCCAATATTAAGAAATCAATTCCAACTAAAGATTTTCCGCCATTACAGGTTCGCTCTTTCGATTTTCTTGGCGTTCGGCCTGGAGTTTAGCTCGAATTCGCTAAATTAGTCTTTCGTAATACTGTTTTTGAATTAATTAATGATGGTTTCTATTCAAATTTTTGTTTGCATGCAGTTGGATTGCAGAATGCACGGTAATGTGGTAACGATGGCGGCATTTTCTGGCGGAGGCGGCGATGGTTCTAGAAGAAGAGATCCTATTGTCTTAGCCTTTGAAGATGCAAAAATTTCAGTTCTTGAGTTTGATGATTCAATTCATGGACTCCGTACTAGGTGTGTTAATAAAAATTAATTATTAGTCTTGCTATTTCGGTTGATGTTATATCAGTTCAAGTTTCGTTTAAGTCCAAATCGGAACACACTTGAATGTTTTTTTTTTTTTTTTGGAAGTGTTGGAGTGTTGGAGTCACGAATGTTGAATCCCGAGTAAGAATTTAATCGTGAATTTGCTAAGGGAATACTCGATGTCCTCTAGCAGACTTCTATACATCAACTAATGGGATGCGATCATACCAACTCACATGCATCGGTCCCATTTGAACTCCGAAGTTAAGCGAGTTTTGGGCGAGAGGAGTACTAGGATGGGTGACCCCACCTAGTGGGAAAAGGCTTAGAAGAAGAAGAAGACTTGAAGTTGGTTGTGTAATTTAGTGATTGAAGAGCTTTAAAGTCTCTAATCTGTAGTCTTTCTCATTATTAACTAGTTATATATTTTCCATGGTTTGCTTACTGTGTTATTACCGGAGTTTGGTTATATATATGTTTCCATAGTTTGTTTAACTGTGTTGCAAGGTGATATTAATTCATTGACGTTGACCTTTTCCCAGCTCTATGCACTGTTTTGAGGGCCCAGAATGGCTTCATTTGAGAAAAGGCAGAGAGTCATTTGCAAGAGGCCCGTTGGTTAAGGTTGATCCCCAAGGCAGGTGCGGAGGCGTTCTTGTTTATGGCTTTCAAATGATAATTCTTCAAGCTGCGCAGGTCTCTTTTGCCTCCTACACTTTGTATTTTGGTCGTCATAGTGGTACTAGCACTCTCATGGTGTCTCATGTTGAAAAATTATGGCTTAATAAGTTAGTTTTGATTCCTGATCCATTTACAATAGGATTTGGAGGGAAAAAGGAAAAACTGTTGGCTTAGCGACAGTTCTAAGCATTGGCTCCTATGCCCTTATTAGGAGCATACTCAATTGGCCTACGATATTGTGTCAACTAGTTATTGGCTCTCATATTCAACAATGTGTTGCTTAGTATTGGTCACGGTGTCTTAGGCTAAAAAAGTAAAATTTAAGAAGTTAATGCTCTATTCCTGTTTTTTAAATTGTAGGATTTGGAAGGAAAAAAGTGAAACCTTGTTGCCTTAGTTACAGTTCTAAGTGTTACCTATGCAGTATGCCTTTGTTAGTTCTGCTTTCAATTATTGGCTTGGTCATTGTGCCTCAACTCTCATGGTCCTCTAGTAGATACGTGATCTTTTTTAGAGGGTCCTCCTGTATCTCAATTTGTATATCTTCTTGTCAGGGTGGCTCTGGTTTGGTTGGGGACGATGATGGTTTTGGTTCCGAAGGTGCAACTTCTGCTCATGTTGAGTCGTCTTACATTGTTAATCTGGTAGACATGGACATGAAGCATGTATAGGATTATACATTTGTACATGGTGAGTTTGGATGTGGAATAATCTTTGGAAGAAGCAATATTTGTAAGACATTTAATAGACAAAGTTTGTATTTGGATTTGTGAACTAAAAAGATATTTGGATATGAATTCTTAGCGTGCATTATTTAATGAGACTTTAGATATTCTATGATAATGAAATTCATATGTGAATTTGAGTATTTGAAATTAACAGAATTTCATATAGGTTGCATAATTCACTCCTTATATTAATAAAAGTGTTTTTTTCCTTAAAAAAAAAAAAAATGGTTGTGGTTATCAGTATCCATATTTTCTTGTATTGCATTCCCGAGTAGGTTTGAAACAAAATAGGTTAGTTCTAATAACTTCTTGTGGCTTTTTATCTTGTAAAGTTTGACATAACGCGTGTTGTATAGGTTACATTGAGCCTGTGATGGTTATCCTTCATGAGCAGAAGCTTACTTGGGCTGGGCGTGTCTCATGGAAGCACCATACTTGTATGATTTCTGCACTTAGTATCAGCACAACTTTGAAGCAGCGTCCGCTTATATGGTCAGCTCTTGTAAGTTCCACCAAGATAAATTTATCTTCAAACTTTGAAATTACTCATTATAAATTTCTTTTCTTTATGTCCCCAACTATTTTTTTTATGTTCATAAAATTAATTTAGAGTCATTTTGATCCATAAAATCAATGTTTAAGCATTCAGCTGACTATGAAACTACGAACAAATTTTTCTTGAAAGTCTTGCATGCTTTTGCTATACTGGAGAAATGTGTATGTTTGATGCAAGTCAGATGACCTGAAAGATTATCCTTCTTAATGTGAGAATATTTGGGAAGACATCCTTACACTCGATCTATTTTTACTTATATTTGTGTCAGAATCTCCCACATGATTCCTACAAGCTGCTTGCTGTACCATCTCCAATTGGCGGTGTTCTCGTGATTAGTGCAAATTTTAATCCATTATCATAGCCAGGTAAGTTAATTTATTATAGTGGATTTATTAGCTGAAGCACATTTTTATGAGGTTTTTACCTACTTTATGCAATCATACCATGTCTTGTTTTAAGTGTCCTGAGAAAATCACAAAAATAGATAGAGAAAGTAGAAGTTTTTTTTGGGGAAAAGATTGCAAACTTGTCCTGTGGCTTAGGATAGAGTTTGCAGCTCTAAGGAAAGTGGGGGATTGGAAATTAGGAAAAGTGATCACTTTAATAATGCTTGTTCAGTAAAACTTGGCTAGAAAGTCCTAACGAATAATCAAAATTATTGGGTACAGATTGTTAAAAATAAATACTTGAACAGACAGCTTAACACTAGTGTCAGACAACACCACTCTTGTGCTTGGAAAGGTATCCTTAAGGCTAGAGATATTATCAAAATGGGGCTGAGGGGGGTTGTGGGAAATGGAGAGAGTATCCTCTTCTAGACCCATAATTGGGTTTTTCCTTTCCCTCTATCCAACTTTATTTCTCCCAGTCATGTTAATGACATCGATCTAAATGTGAAGGTGAGTCAATTCATTAATAATGGACAATGGGATAATGATCAACTTCGATCGTTAGTTGATGAGGACATTGTGAATAAAATCTATAGTTTTCCCCTCCCCTTAACTCCCCAATGCGATATGTGTTGTAGGGGGCCTAATGCAAATGGTAAGTTCTTAGTTCAGTCGGCAACTTAGATACAAAATAGTGATAATACCAATAAGAATGTAAGAGAGCTTCTTAAGAAAATGTGGAAGCTTGAACTTCCTCATAAAGTTAAAATTTTTAGTTAGCTTCTCATAATTGGAAGGCTTCATACAAGAGACAAATTATCAAGATATGTCAATAATATCTTGTCCACCTGTCCTATGTGTAATTTAGAGGATGAAAACAGATCTCATTTCTTTATAAATAGTAATTTTGCGAGGCTAGTTTGGAATTGTCAAGCTATCTCTAACAACATAAGAGTAAATCAATTTCTTCCTTTTAATGATTGGCTCAATGAATTAACTGTTAAGAATGATGCAAGTTTGTGTGATCTTAGTAAAGTTTTACTAGTTTGCTGGCAGATTTGGCAGGAGAGGAATCTTGTGGTTTTCCAAAATAAAATTCCAAACCATACATGGATCGTTAAGTCGGCCCTTAATCGAGGGAGGGAATTCATAGGTGCCAATGGTATAATTCCTGTGGTTTACAATGGTAGCAGGTCCTCTCCACCATCTTCTATCCGATGCTCCCCAGCGAATGCTCGTTTTGTTAAACTTAACTTCGATGGCTCTGTTGTGAATCAAGGTGCAGCTGTTGGGTTTGTGATTAGAAATGAGAAGGGATAGCCTATTGTTGCGGGAGCTAGATTTATTGGTCAAAACACTATTTCGGTTGCGGAATGCCTGGCGTTGAGGGATGACATGTGGATGGCTAAGGCCAAAGGTTTGGCTCGCATTATGGTGGAGCGTGATTCAAAGCTAGTGATTGAGTCTATCAGCGGAGCCTATAGCCCCTCATTGGAGATTGAAGGTCATCCTAGAGGATATTCACCGGCTTGCCAAGTCGTTTGAGGAAATTTGCAGGAAGCATGTCTTGAGGGAAGCAATTTTCTGGTAGATGCTATAACTAGTGTGGGTTATTCAGTCTTTGATTTTCATGTTTGGGTTAAAACTCTTCCTTTGGAAGCTCGTCAAGCCTTCCTCTTTGATTGTACCAAAACCGGTTGCCTTAGGGGTTTTTCTCTTTAATGTAGTTTTTTTTTATTAAAAAAATATAAAAAAAAATACATAATATAATTTGTTTATTTGCTGAAAGTTTAGGGAGAGGGGAGGCTATTCCATCTTAGGGTTAGGACATACCACAAGTCTCTTTGAGGACTTACTGAGGGGGTCTTATCCCTTTTTTTAGTTTTTACATATAATCCGCCAAGAAGAATTGTTGGCAACAAAATTCGAACCTAGGTCTTGGTCCAGCAAAAAAAAAAAATCATTACCAACTTAGCCAACCGTGATTGGCATACATTATGTAATTTGAGTAAAATTATAACATCACGTCACAATGTTTCCAATAGAATAAAATTTTGATCCACTACATGAAGAGGGAGGGAGGGGGGTGAGACTTGAGAGAGATGGTCACCTGAGTAATTAGTAAATTTGGGCACACGCGCATCGTCATGATAGGCCCACGAGGTTTATGGAACAGTGGAAAACCACTCATGCTGTCTCCGTCTGCCATTGTTTACCTCGTGCAGTTGTTTTCTAGATTCTATTAGATATATTCACCTCATATTTGATTGTTATTCTCATTGGTGGGGAAGGAGAGGACGTTCAAAGTTCACACAACGATTGACTAATTTACTTTTTACTTTGTGTTTTACAAACATTTTACCTTACTCCTCATAATCTTCTATTAACCAATAAAACAATGTAATCAATAAACATGATTTTCGAAAAGATCAAATCGAAATCAAGAGATTATAATCCACAATTTTTTGGAATTGAAAATTACATAAAAACCCAATACCCAAATCTGTCTTGAATTAATATCAGAAGTTGACTTCGTCAATACGTGTTACACAAACCACGCATCAAACGAACAAGTAAGAGACTAGGGACCAGGTTGCTCGGGCAGCAAGTTGGCGATTCAGCCGTATAGTGGGCATGTTGGAAATTCAAATAAAAACAGGCTGTAAAAGGTTGCTTCTAGCTGTTAGTTTCTTTACAGGTTGTATCCACACATGTTGCAACTACAAAGACTAAAGTTTCCTCCATGTGCTAGCTGAAATGGTGATGAAAGACAGCAAGTGTGCTGCCATGTGATGTGCTAGCAGGAAGACAGCAGTGTGCTGCTGTGTATTAGCCGAAAGAGTGTTGATTGCAAGCTGGAAAGATAGCTGCATATGTGTGCTAGACTGTCCAAAGTTCTTGCATGTGTTTTAAAGGGTGTAAAGATGTTAAACACCCCATTCATTGCATGTGTTGTTGCATTGTTTATCAATTTCTGTTTTGTATAAATAGGCCATCTTGCTAAGCTTTATAGCATCCCATCCAAATCCCATTTCCATTCTCATTTTCAGCTTGTAAGCTTTAAGAGTTGTAAACTCTTCTAATATTTCAAAGTGTTTGTTATCACCAAGCTTGCTACTTCTTTCATATATCAAAGTCCAAGTGTTTTATCAAAGCTTGTTGCTTCCCTCCTTTCTCTATTTCTTTGTCCAATTTTATTGAGAGTGAAAGTGAGAGGTGTGATAGAGTTTGTAAACTTATCACCCACATATTTTGGTATTGAGTTAGTAAACTCTTGTGAATACCAACAGGGCATACGGGGCCTACTTGTTCACCTCAGCGAACAGGCTTACATATTTGAAGACTCAAACAACTTCTGCAGACGATCACGATCGGTCATTTGACTCTCACTGCTGCAGATTCTTTTTAAATCTTCTCCACCTTGTCGATTCTCCTTACTTGACCAGCTCACCATCACTGAAGTTGCTTGATGCTCCGATCGGAAACAAATCAGTGCGGCCATGTCGGTACAACGGAACATACGTTAGAAAGGCCATTCCTTCCCTGCAACACTAAAAAAAAACCGGGCCGAACTTCTGCCCGCCCTTCCAGTTCCGTTCCAAAAGAATTTGGAATTTCAACATATATTCAGAAAACAATAATTCATAAGTTCGATATGTGCAATAATTTGATTTCCATTCAAATCCAGAATTTCAACTTCCTTTCACAAAAGCGAAAGAGGAGCCTTGAGTTACAAGGCATTGCTGTAATATTTTAAAAAATGGCATTCTGCCCGAAAAGTGCATAAAGAAACGTCCTTGAAAAGAAGAAAATCGAGTTCGAAAGAGATGGAGGTGATAAAAACTCATGGTAATTTCATCAATACGGTTATTACATGTGAACAAATGTAGCGGTCTCGGACAAAGGTTAACGACTATGATAACTTACAACCCATCAGCGGAAACGAATGACTAGGTTGCTAGGCTGCTATACTTGTCGCAACAAAACCGAACGATTCACCGAGCCTAGCAATATTGGTTAGCCGGAAACTCTCTACTCTTGTCATCTAAAACTACAGCAGTGAAGCAACAGTATTTCCCACTTCTTACCCCTCCTCTTTCTTCTCAATTCAGCGGAACCCAACGATCACGAACAAGGCAAACGCAGCACTTACAAGAAGCTCGTTACTATAGCGAGGTCATTTAAGTTTGTAAAAATTTGGGAACGAGTCGTCCCTATCCGGTTTGCAATTTCAAGCTGTTCCTCCAATAGAAGCATCTCATAACTGCAAGGATGAAAATTGAAGTACACTTGTTAGGCCCGGTTTTTATCATGCCATCAAATACTGTTGATGGTGTTGATCTAGAATTAGAAGCGTGCATCATTTTATCAGGAAAGTTTTTAGCATCATTGGGTTTACAAAGATGACGGCATATTTCTCTCCAAAGAGCAAGGTAGAAAATCTTTTGTATCTTGAACGGTAATCTAAATAGAAGGAACATGGAACTCACTGGGTTAGAAGCTCATAGTCAACTATGGTATCAGGGCCAGGCCGATGAGCATTTCCATTTGACCGAAACTGGCGGAAAGCTCTTGGATTAAAACCAGCAACATGGGCAACTGCATCAACAAGCTTTTTCTGTAGTGACTGCAACCTACGAAATGTGAGTTCATCAAGAGGCGTAACACAGCCAATGCTGCCATCCAGGGTACCAAATAACAAAGCATAGCGATTAGTTTTGTTGGAGCCTGGATTGGTCCTGAGTTAGAGAGCATCTGCAACTGCAAGAACTTGGTAACATGGGTACCAACATGAAATTTAGCCCTTGAGAGAAGCTTCTGGCCTTTCCAACTCTCAGACCTCTTTGGTGCGTAGAAAAAAGATCTGTTTGGCATATAAAATGTGTTTAAAATAAGTAAACTAACACAATCCCTCCAACAATCAGGGATGAAAAACCAACCAAAAGAATTATTAGTCACAAAAAAATAAAATAACAAGAGCCCTAAAAGAGGACTAAAATATATCTCCAACTACAAGTCACTAACCTGAATGTTCTTTTGTTCATCAGCAACTACAAGCCTCAGTGAACTTCCAACGATAAAAAATTCCGTTGCAAAACAATCTAGGTCACCAAAATCCTTGGCCAACATATTTAGTTAAGATCCCTGCTCCTTCCAGCTGAGAAAGTAAATACTTTTGTGAATGTCACCAAGGAAGATAAAATTCTTGACCTGCAAGGACAAATTTGGCCATTGACACTGGTCAAATATTGCACAGAATCATATCTTAATAAATTAAGACTAACATTATACACACAGAATCAAATTAAAGACACAACTTGAGAAGTTTTGAAACATTTCAACATGCACCCTCTTATTTCACATCACACAATTAAATTGTATATTCCAGTACTGATATCCAGGTATCAAACAATGAATCAATTTAAAAAAGACAGTTAAGGAAATATACGTACAATATTCAAGCTCACAACATACAATGGCAGAACATCAAAAAATACCACACCATTCAGTTCAGTGCCATTCCACTTGTTTAAAGTAATTTTAGGACCTTGAGCTATCAACAGATGACCATGAAGTGAGGCTAATGCAGATATGGCACCCTGAAATCTTTGGCATACACCTCTGAAACCTGAATACAGAAATAACTGACTTTATCTCATAAAATGAAATTTTGAGCCCTCTTGTAATTCTAACATCATAAAAAATCACAACACAATTCCCTAATCACGCAAAATATAAATGATAATACCCTCCAAGTACAAGATATTATGGTACAGAAGATGATACAATTAGCAAGTCATGCACTGGTGGTGAAGAAAGTAACAAGCTCTGCTTCTTCCGCTCAAACGAAATTAAAAAAAAAAAAAAATTGTAATTACTAACCGTCCATCATAAACAAGGGTGAGCAACAGTAGCTCCCCGGTTTTTGTAGACAGCAAGGCTACATCATTCAGCAACCAAATATAAAAACAAAGTGTGGAGGAGAGAGATTAGCCAAAGAGACGAGAGAAAGTGAGGGAATACAAGGGTGTGTGGGTTGTGTGTGTGTGTGTGGGTTTTTACCAACTAGTTTTTATCTTGATAATTAGCTCTTTTGCATTAACTTGATCCTTCCATAAAATAATATTGTGTATGCTTAGATACCTACCAATAGTGATTTTATGTTTAATAGCAAGAATATTAACAATATCAATTCTGGTATGGTTATGAGTATTATTTGAAAAATAAAGTGAAGACTTATGAATGTTATCTTTTGACCAGAAGTTTAAGCGAACTTATCTGGCACCATAGCAATATTCCTGGCAACAGTGCTAGTGGCATTAGCAAAAATTAGACAGCCATCTGCAAACTTTAGATTAGTAATTCTATAACCTCTAGTGTAGTCAACAGACCAACATTACTTCTGGATGATTCTCCCAACTTATCCAAGTGTCTGATCAAGGGTTCCATATAAAGGATAAAAATATGAGGAGACAGAGCGTCTCCTTGCCTAATACCTCTATGAAGACAAAAATAACCATGAGATTTACCATTAATAAATATAGAAAAGGATGTTGAAGTAATGCATTCCATGATAAGCTTGATCCAGTGATCATTAAATCCAAATTTAGTAAGCATACCTTTAATATAATCCCAGCTGAGGAAGTCATACACCTTTTCAAGGTCAAGCTTAATGGCCATTGCACCCCTTCTACCTTTTTTACTCTTAAAAGAGGCAAAGAGTTCATGCGCATTCAGTGGCAAAAGCTCCCTGTTTCTTGGATATGCAATTGTTT